CCCTGGCATCGACCACACTGTGAGTAGAGGGATCGCATCGCCATCGCCATCGCCTAAATCTATATATTCTAATCGTCCCTGCAGGATTGCCAGTCAGGATGCCAGGGATGCCTTTGGCATCATCGTCTCGTATGCCGTGAAGGTCAAGCTCTTCCTGGGAGCCCTCGGCGGCGAGCTCTGCGCTGAGCTGCCCTTCATTCTGATGCACCCAAAGGTGGGGGATATCTTTAACGGAAACATAAGTAAAATATATTAAATTCTGCTCTGTTTGCAGCCCAACCGAAAGGCCCTGGAAGCCGAGGGCTCTGTGGAGGCCTAAACGGAAACGGAAACGATTACCTCAACTGCGTATTTCTATATGTTTAACCGATGTTTGTAGGCCTTTGTAAAAGCTGATGTTGCTGAAAATGTTCTGTACTGCAGTCGTCGTGCGTCGTACTCTTTCTATATAGCAAAATCAATATTCAAATATGTGTGTATGTATGTGTACTACAAATATAACTCAACAAACCATTAAATATGGACAAAATGTACATCCATCGAGTCTTTGAGGCCTCCACCATGCCTTTCCACGCCCTCCAAAGATGGACAGCAGTGATTATTGGCCAAAAACCCACACACTCTCGGATGGTGAATGCATTAATTAATGCAGCCCCCCCTTTCCCCGCCCCCTGGGCAATGTTTCACAGATTATGTATTTATCGGAGTGCAATGGGGATATCAACTACAACTCCCATACATTGCACTCCACACAAAGCCCTAGTTTTGCGGCCAAGTAATTTCAGAACCAGACAAAATTAATACTCGGCAGGAGTGTTTGCCAGTCTGGAAAATAGCTAATTAAATGGTACTTCCTTGGGATAGACACAGAATGCGATCCTGTTCCTTACAGAATCAGACAATGCCTGACAATGGGCAGCCCCTGGAATGCACTTAATACTACAATAACCAAAGGTTCTTCTGGCATCAGCATAATTCCGTGCTTTTCAGAGCTGATTGGAGCTCCTCCATCGCACATCCGTTTTCAGTGGCAAATCGGAAATCCTTTGGTGCCACATGGCCTTTGGCGCTTTCAATTAGCCGCCACGGTTTACGGCAGTCACGACGGCTATCACTCCCCCCTCCCGTGTGCGAATTGTGGCCAATTATTGTGAGTACAGGGCACACTCATCCACCCGAAATGCTACAACTCACTATGGATTGGCAAACAAATTCGCAAAATGATTTTGCACGGCCCTAATCGACCGGGGCCCTGATAAGAAGATTAGATTATCCTCTTTAATCGGTTTGAACTTTATGGCACCCCCAATAAGTGCGGTGGGAAAACTGCATTCAAACCCGGAGGGTGATAAGCGATAAGATGGCGGGGACTCAATTAGGAAATAGTTGACCATAGCTACAGTTCTGATTGGTTTTAAAATAGGTTTAGTCAGACCAGTTAGACTCTGGCCACTGAAGAGCCCCACTTAACAATTTCCAGATAATAAAAAACACGAATTTTATGAATATTTATAGACAGCATTTGGAATACTTCCATTCATTGGGCACCGTCGCACAGTGGGCTTAACCACCCCTAGAACTCGTAGCTTATTTTAATTCCATTTTCAATTTCCGAAATAGATTTTTGGTATCTGTTCGATTATTAATGCATCACGGAAGCTATCAATCGTTTTTGTTTATTTTGAATAACAACATTTATAAACCTCTCAAAACAAAAAACAACATGTTTTGCTGCAACAAAATTTTTGGCCACATTTTTTAATTTTAGATAAAATAAAGAAAGTGCATGCAGATATTCTTACCCATAATCTGGTTCCGTTTTGAAATCTTATCCTGGTGTTCCATATGCGACTCTAACGATTCTGATGGAGGGAGACACCGCACGACGACTTCGAAATTACGAGAAAACCGCACCGAAACCGCCAGCGAAACGCACGAAATGATTTCCAATAAGAGCACAAATTTAACGCATATTAATTTAGGGTGAGGCATTAGTGGGCGGAAGTTCGTGTAAACACACCAAGCAAGAGAGAGTCAGATCAGCGGGTATTGGGAATGCCTCACCCTACCATAAACTTCGCTTGGGATGAGAGCACTCTCTCCTTTTTGATTCTCTTCTTCACTGCATCACACTACTGCGTGGGAGTGGGAAAGGGACGAAACTTGACGAATTTTCAAGCACCCGCACACACACACTACTGGATCTCATGTAAACAAAAAAAAAAAGGAGCGAGACAACTAAACAATAACACATTTTATTTGTAACACGTTTTTGTATACATTTATGTTTGATCACTGGATTACTCACTGAATTTTCACTTCACACACCTGCGTGACAGTTTTCCCGATGGATTTCCACCATTTTCCGCATTTTCACGGATAAAAACGCGATGCAGACTTACGAACGCACGCTTTGACCGGCGGGAAAATGAAAGTGAGAGCGGCGCAAATTCGTTCATTCTTTGCTCTCCTTCTCCTCTTCTTACTTGCCTTCACTCCTCCCACGCACTCTTCAGCTACTTTGGCGAAAACGAAACGAAAAAAAGGGAGAATACGGAATAACACATGATTTTGTTTTACACATGAAAAAAAGAATTTATGCAAAAAATAAATGATTATCTACACATATGTATGTATGTACATATAGCACATATACCAAATATATACACATTAATATATCACAAATCGCTGCACTTTTCCTTCGTAGATCTGCATTTTTGTAGCCATTTTTCCTCCTTCTACGCCCCCGCCCTTTGACAAACACTTTTCTTGCACTGAATTTTCACTTCACACACCTGCGTGACATTTTTCCCGATGCATTTTCACCATTTTCCCCATTTTTCAAAATTTAAACGCGGAGCTGACTTTCAAACGCGCGCTTTGACCGGCTGGAAAATAAATTAGAGAGCGCAAATGCGCTCAGTCTTCGATCTCCTTCTCTTCTTCAACATTTCTCTCACTCCCACGCTCTCGTCGGCTACTTTTGCTTATGCTCATGATGAATTTACGCAAGGTGGTCAGCTCTCGCAATGCGCTCTCTTCTCGTGTCTTCTTTTGCTCAGCACAGCAGCAAACCTGGTGCTCCTCTTTCACACCAATCAATTGCTGAGAGCATTGCGGAGCGTAAATAACCCGCAAATGAGTTAATGGACCACCTGCAATAATGGCATCATGCTCTTTGTCATTTTGTTCTGCTACTTCACAGAGAGATCAAAAGTGTGTGGACGTGGGAGTGAGAGTGAGATGCAGAGATTGATGAGAGAGTTAGAGTGAGCGGCGTAGGTGCAGCTCACGTTGAAATTATTTAATTTTATTAAATTAATTGATCTTTCTTTATGAAATTAATTTATTTAATAAAATTAGTTGATTAATTAATTAAGCATAAGCAAGAGTACCCAACAGAGCGTGGGAGAGAGAGAAAATGGAAAGAGAAGCATGGATTGAAAAATGAACGCATTTGCAGCGCTCTCACTTTCATTTTTCCGTCGGCAAAGCGTGCGTTCGTAAGTCAGCTCCGCGCTTAAATTCGATAAAATGCGGAAAATGGTGAAAATCCATAGGAAAGATGTCACGCAGGTGTGTGAAGTGAAGTTAAATGCAAGAAAAGTGCGGATGGAGGCAAAATGGCGGCAAAAAGTAGATCTAGAAAGGAAAAGTGAAACAATTTGTGATATATGTATACGTATGTATGTATATGTGAACTAAAAATATATATTTTCTTCGCATTAATTCTTTTTTTTTATGTGGACAATCAAAAATATATTGTTGTCTCGTTGTCCGTTTTTTCATTTAGTTTTCGCAAAAGTAGCTGTAGAGAGCGTGGGAGAGAGAGCAGAGGAGTAGGAGATCAAAGAATTACGGCATTTGCAGCGCTCTCACTTTCATTTTTCCGTCGGCAAAGCGTGCGTTCGTAAGTCAGCTCCGCGCTTAAATTCGAGAAAATGCGGAAAATGGGGAAAATCCATCGGGAAAAATATCACGCAGGTGTGTGAAGTGAAGTTCAGTGGAGTGATGCGGTGATTAATTACAAATGTATACAAATATGGGTTTTTAGTGCAAGAAAATATGTTTGATCAAAGGCGGGGTGCGCAGCAAAAGGCAAAATAGCAACAGAAATGCAGCGCGACAAAGGAAAAGTGCGGCAATAAGTGATACATATATGTATGTAAAAAAAATAATTTTATCTACACATATATGTATATTAAATTCACATATATATAGATAAACATATTTTTTTTGCATGAATTCTTTTTTTTCATTAAATTGTGTTATGGTTTCGTTGTCTCCCTTATTTCGTTTCGTTTTCGCAAAAGAAGCTGCCGCGAGCGTGGGAGGAGTGAAGGCAAGTAGGAAGAGGAGCAGGAGAGCAAAGAACAAACGCATTTGCACCGCTCTCACTCAAATCTTTTCACCAGTCAAAGCGTGCGTTCGTAAGTCAGCTCCGCGTTTTTATCCGTGAAAATGCGGAAATTGATGGAAAATAGATCGGACAAAATGTCGCGTATGGAAGCCAGTCGGAAGAAATTAAATTTCAGTGAATACAAAACGCCGTCCACCCGCTTACTCGCTCTCTCCCGCTCTCTCACACACTCTATTCGTGATATTTGCGCCCTCTGGCTGATGGAGGCTGCGACTCACAGCGTTCCCCCTCATTACAATTAAATCTATGTATATTTATAATCCGTTCCACCCACTGTGCATCAGTGCGGTCGCCAGGTGTTCCTGTTTGCAAACTTCAAGTAGGTAGCCTCTGATAACGATGCACCCACGAAAAGTCGAGTGCAATCGACGGCACTTATCAAGGTCTTACAGTACGGCTAAGTGCCCCACTTAAATTACTCCACAATCAGGGCACCGATATGGGTGGGGCAGCCAACCAAACAAACCGAAGCAATATGGCAGACAGGCAGATTAGCAACTGAACTGCTGAGAAGGGGATAATCGAGTGGACGAGCGAGCGATGAATAAAGACGGTGGCTGGTTCTGATCGTCTGGCATTCGGCTGGCAGTCTTTGTTTCGCATCGATCGATATGTGCTGTCGTTGCTGTGGTGTGACCCAACAGAAGGTATGGGTATTCGGTATCGGGACACTGATGGGCGTCTCAGGACTCCTGTCCGTCATATGGGGACCTAGTTTCATGGACACGCTGATAATGAAGGTGAGCTGGAAGCTCAGAGAAAAGTTCGGGAAGTGTTCATTTGGAATTCCTTTCAGCAACTGCCCCTAACGCCCACCTCGAAGACCTTCGAGAAGTGGGAGGAGCTGCCCATTCCCATATACCTGCACATGTACCTTTGGAACTGGACCAATGCCCAAGAAGTGCAGGCCAACGGTGTGAAGCCGATCTTCGAGCAGTTGGGTCCTTATGTCTATCGGGAGGAACGCAAGAAAATGGACTTGGAGTGGCACGACAATGGCACAGTCACCTTCAATCCCAGACGTATTTGGTACTGGGAGGAGGAGATGTCAGGCGGAAAACAGACGGATATAATCACTGGCCCCCACCTGCCATCCATCGTGAGTGGCTTGATATATCTACCAAAGGGTTCCCTAAAGTCCATTGTTTTCCAGGCTGCTGCCCATTCAATGAAGGATAGTAATATTTTCTTAAAAGTCATGTTCAACCAAGCCCTCAACGCGAACGGAGGAGCTCTGTACACCACCCACACCGCCTCGGAGTGGCTGTTTGAGGGCTTCTATGATGAGTTCCTGCACTACGCCATGAATCTGAACAATCCGCTGGCACCTGAAATTCTGGACGATCACTTTGCCTGGTTCCTGCACCGCAACGAGTCGAAGGACTTCGAAGGACCCTTCACGGTGCATACGGGTGTCGGCGACATCAAGGAGATGGGGGAAATCAAGTACTGGAAGGGCATGAACCACACGGGCTGGTACGAGGGCGAGTGCGGACGGCTCAACGGCAGCACTACAGATCTCTTCGTGCCCGACGAGCCGAAGGAGAAGGCCCTCACCATATACATCCCGGACACCTGTAGGATCATCAATCTGGAGTACTCGGGAGTGAGCTACGAAATCGAAGGCATCCAGGGCTGGAAGTATGAAGTGACCCCAAACACCTTCGACAATGGCCAGCTGAATGGGAACATGAAGTGCTACTGTCCTGCGGACAGGTACCCAGACGATTGTCCCGCCTCCGGAGCCACATCTCTGGCTCCCTGCGGCGACGGAGCTCCCATGTATCTCTCTGCGGATCACTTTATGTACGCCGATGAGAGCTATGCCAACACGATCACCGGCTTCGATCCCGAGTACGAGAAGAACAATTTCTACATCATAATGGAGCGTAAAATGGGCGTTCCCCTGAAGGTGGTCGCCAATGTGATGATCACTTTGTACATGGAGCAAGACTCTGTTATCGAGTGAGTACTGTCAAAAGTCGCTTTGGTTGGGGATCTTTTGATTAGTTGTTTTCATCGTTTCACAGCATCCTAAAGGGCATTCCCAGCTTCTACGCCCCACTCTTTACCACATCCAGTCAAGCGCAAATCGACAAGGCACTTGCCTCCGAGCTGAAGGTGGGCGACCAATCCTCTACAGGAAAACCTTTCTAATATTAATGTACATTTTCCAGTTGGTCTTGAGTCTGCCCTCTATTGCTCGCTATATGGGAGTGGGACTGCTCTGTGTGGGCTGCATCCTTATAGCCATTGGATCTCTCTTGACTTGGAAACGGAAGTGGTACGGCCAGGCCGAGGCTGACAGACTTGCTCTTAGAGACAACGAGGTGATTGAAAGCGAGACAGAAGTGGTCCCCAGGAATGAGTAGAAGCAACTATTTTGTGATTTTTAGTAGACTAAGAGCGTATCAATAAAATAAAGATTTAACTATAACCAGATGTAAATAGTAAACAGAACACAAAGTATTCATAAAGAGCAAGTCCGATATGGCTTCTGAATTAAGAGCACCTCAGGTTAAGGAAATATTCTCTTTTAGGAGCCCCGAACTCTTGAGTGGAACGGGTACCTATCGCTCAGTCGTGAATATTTGTACTACTGATAATGCATACAAATTCCACCAAATTAAAAACAAAAATTATAATCGCTTTATGCCTTTTTTGGCTTTCAGGGGGGTCGGTGCGGAATCTAATCTCACTCTAAACAAACTCAAACCCTTATTAATCCTAATCTCGTATAATTTCAGGCCAAAATATATAAATATTGCCAAAAACTGTGGGTTTTTTCTCAGTTTAATTCGATCCGTCGCGATGTGCTGCAATTGTTGCAGTGTCCGCCAGCAGAAGATCTGGGTTTTTGCCCTGGGGGGCCTGGCGTTTGTCCTGGGCATAGTCTTGGTCGCCGCCTGGCCGAGCTTGTCGCGTCAGTGGATACTGGGAATGCTGCCGCTGGCCCCAGATTCCTTCATGTACAAGCGCTGGGTCGCAACGCCCATGCAGCTGTACAGTACGTTCTATCTGTTCAACTGGACCAACCCGGAGGACCTGAACACGGAGGGAGTCAAGCCGAATTTTGAGCAACTGGGACCGTATACGTTCAGCGACTACAAAGTGAAGGAGGACCTGGAGTGGGATCAGCCCGAGGTGACCTACTACGGTCGACGCACTTGGCATTTTGTGCCCGATAAATCGAATGGGTCCCTCGAGGATGTGGTTGTCACCCCAGATTTTCCCGCTGTGGTGAGTGAGAGGAAAAGTAATGGCTCAGTGCCACCATCTGTCAGGCCACTAATCCCGCATTCTGTTTCAGACAGCTTCCTTTCTCTCACGCAAGTATCGACGCGTACTTCGGAAGGTAATGAACTTTGCCCTCAATCGGGAGGGTGGCTCCACCTTCATAAGACAAACAGCCGGGGAATCTCTCTTCGACGGGTACTACAACGAGCTCCTGGACTTCGTGGAGCAGCTGCATTCCCCGCTGCTGCCCGTTCCCAGCGGCACCTTCGGCTGGCTCTATCAGCGGAACCAGTCCAAGACAGCCGAGGGAAACTTCACCATACACACGGGTCGTGGAGATCGCAGCCGGATGGGAGACCTGCTGCTTTGGAAGGGCAAAAACCACACCGGCTACTATGCGGGCGAGTGCGGAAAGGTCAACGGCAGCACCGGCGAGCTGTGGTCCCCGCAGCGACAGTGGGACAGACCCACTTCTATATTTATGCCCGATACAGGACGCTTTCTAAACCTGTATCCCACGGAGAACGTCACCGTCGATGGCATTGACGCCTGGCGCTATGTCTCCACGGAACTCACCCTCGATAACGGACAGCTGTCGCCGGACACGAAATGCTTTTGCGTGGGCCAGCGCGAGTGCCCGCTCAACGGCGTGCTGGACTTTTCTCCGGCCACCTATCACGGCCCGTTCTATATGTCACATCCCCATTTCCACATGACGGACGGCATGTTCAGGGAGAACACGACTGGCCTGCAGCCAAATGCCTCGGAGCACTCCATGTATGTGATAATGGAGCCCACACTGGGGGCACCTCTGAAGCTAAGGGGACAGCTGATGATTAGTGTGCGAGTGGTGCGCGACGAGGCTATAGAGTGAGTGCTAATTGTACTATTTCCTGGCAACGATGATGGGTGTTTTTCTTAGCTTCTTCAAAGATGTGGCCTACGATCATTATGCGCCCCTCTTTACCCTGGTCTTGCATGGAGAGATGGACGATAATCTGAGAAGTTCACTTAAGGTAAGCCCTCCTTAGAGTATCTCCAGGAAAACTTATTGTCGTCTATTTTTAGCTCGCCTTGAATGTTCCACAAATTGGCCAATACACGGGAATAGCCTTCCTCCTCGTAGGCCTCACCATGGTGGCGGTGGGCGTTTACGTCTCAAGGAACCACAAATGGCACAACGAACAAAGGCCCGAACCCATTGAGGGAGTGAAAGCAAACAACAAACAAGTCGACGCCACTCGGGGGAACCGATAAGACTGGTTATTCCGTACCCGGCGATAATCTCGCTAATCATAGCAAGTATTTGCGGACTATTTAAAGCTATCAGCCACTCAAAGTTATTTAAAGACGGTGAGAGGTCATAAAAAATTCAAATTACTTTCCCGGGGGGCTGGATTATCCAATTTCGTTCAGGTGTTGCCCAGCTGCAAGCATCTAGAATTACACAAAATTATGGCCTTTCAAATATGCTAAAATTTATTAATATGTTAATAATTGTTTTTTGTTGTTTCGTTCGTGCTGCCCGTCCCACGTGCGAGGGCGAGGGCGAGGACGAGGGCCTTGAGCACGTAAGCTGCATACTTTACGGCGTACGAACTCTTTCACCAGGCAAAACCAAAGGCAGGGCAACAAATACCGGACTGGAAATTTGAAAAATGCCAAAAGAATATTATAAGCGACTAATTTATATGCACCAAGCACGCAAACTTACGTTTTGCACACACATTGTTTGGGCTCGGACGATGGGAACCGAACGGAACGGAACGGAACGGAGCGGATAGGATCGGATCGGAGCTCAGGTTAAACAATGTATGAAAATATGAAAATTATATGAGTCCCAGTATGTGTCGGCCGTAACTTAAGTACAGGGGACGAAGCAACGAGGCAATAAAACACACAACATTGTTTAAGAATTTCCCGGAAAAAAACCCAACAATTTTGAGCTTGGAGTATCAGTTTCTAAAATATGTCAAAATTTAGAATAAATTGCTGGCATAAATAATAATAAGCCAATACATGGTAATCCATTCTCTAAATGAGATTAAGCTTAAGGAAAGGAAATGCAGTATAAAATATTATTAATTAAAAAATAAGAAGAATCTATATTTTACTGCAAACCTCAAGCTATTTGCTATTGATTCAAAATGCAGTAGGACATAAACAAATTTTCTTTATTTAAACACAAATATGTGGCAAATATTCTGGCATATTTTAATTCAAAAATTGAGTCCATAAAACGCCCCCCAGAACCCTGACAAATTGCCGGCAGGGCAGGACCGAATGAAAACGGATGTCAACACACGAGTATTTACTTCAATTTGCTTTCATTGCTGTATTTGGTTTACAGCTACAGCATTTTGGTACATTTTCTTTATAAAATCTTTGGACAACAATTGATTTATGGTCGGGCGTATCTTTATAAAATTTATTATTTACGCACTTTATGGTAGTTCCAGTTGAAACCCCATTTATTTGCATGTTGACATTGAATGTGTGATAATAGCAATTTTATTTGAATAATAATTACTGTGAAACAAATTCGAAGAAAGAGATAAGATTTCTGGCTCTGGCTCGAGCTCAAGACCTTTTCTATTTTGGGGATTTTCCTTTTTTTTCCGTGTCAAGTAACCACAGCAATGTGCAATTGTGCGAGGAATTTTCAATGAAAAATTTAACAAACGCCCCAAAAAAAAACAACCTCGAAAAGGGAGGGAAAAAAACGTACCGTTTGGATAGGACCAGTCTGTCAGGCAGCCACATGGCCTTTATGCCAGGCCAACGACAACCGCATTTCATTTTACAGAATAGGTTGTCAAGGTACGCAGACTGACTGACATTTTTATACTTTTTAATGCCTATACCTAGGCCTCCACAATGGTGGAAAGTGTTCATTCCTGGGTTCATTTGTGACACATTGAAAAACAGTCTGTGGATCGTGGAAGAGTCCTTTACCAAGTGGAAATGTGGTAAAAGTAGGGTCCAACTTTCAGGGTGGACAAATAGATCTTCCCGTCTTTTTATGTATATTTTCCCTACAATCCCTTCCACCTACACCTCCATCTAAGGTACAAATCGAATCGAGTACCCAAGGACTACACTCTCTGGACATTTTTCTATATAGTTTTGGTAATGCTGGTGCGGTTTTTTCCCCGCTGAGCATAACAAGCAACAGATCGCGTCGGTGGCCGACTTCATTATTTCGACAAAATCCCCAAAGCCAAGAAAAAAGAGTGTTTGAAAGCACAAATAGAGAGATGGGTGGAGGGGGTTGCTCAGAGCCATTGTTGCCCGCTGTCCGGTTCCTTCGACTGCTGTCCGTTTATGTCGCGAAAAACTTCGGTGTCCTAATCTGCTGCCTGACTTGCATACTAATTTGTTTGCTCTGCGGTGCCCGCCCACTAGGAGGGGGCCACCTCTCCTCGGCCAATGTGGGACACGGCCTTTATGGTCTTTTGGGCTGCTGACAACCCGTAGATTATGTTGTTGGCTTTGGCTTTTGTGTGTTGGCCAAGTCTGAGTAGGTTTCGGGCGAGAGCATGAGTGTGCCCAGTGTCATGTTGCCTGGGCTTATGGATTCGGTTTGCTTCTGGGTCTGGTTCGGCCTTTGGATCCCAACTCCAATGGCCTTGTTTGTTTATTTCTGTTGGCCGTCTATAAAACCCTGTTTAGCTGCTTAATTTTTTCCTTTGTCATGTTGACAGTCGTTCGGCTCAAGGACTTCTTCGGTGGAGCCTGGGCCCGAGAGCCGCTTGTTAAGGTTCATTTTTCGCACAATTTAATGTTATTTAATTGGCATTTAAGTTAGTGAAAATGTTTGTCTTCCAGCTACAGATAAGGCGTTCATGATATACATAGATGACGAGGTCAGTTTTTATCGGGGCAGTCCTTGAACTTGGGAAACGGGGGAGTCTTTGGGTGTTCATGATTAAATTGCTGTTATTTTTGTTAAACTTTAAGTCTCTGAAACTGTTAATTTACTTCGTTTTTAATTGCTTTCAGTGTTCATTGACTGTGCAAATATTTCTATAAAACTCTGAAGATATGTGGCTCATATTCGCTGTAAACCATTTATGTTAAACTTAATCGGAACATGTCCAGGAACCGGCCGCTAAATAAATTCGTGGGCAATTAATAATTTGTGACATTTTAACTACAATGTTGAAACCGCAGCTTTGCCTCCAGAGTTCGCCGTTCGGCTGCATTTTTTTGCGTTCCCCCATTTTTCACTCTGGCAGAATTTATGCTGTAATTTTCTATGCCATCTTTTTCCATTTTGTTGGCAGCGAAAATTGCACTGGGCCTTTGGCGTTGGCTAGGACGCTACAAAGTTGACAGCATCTGAAGGGAAATCTGCACAAAAAAATGATTAAATAAACATACACCATTGCTCGCCAGCTCAAAAACAACAGCCCTCGAAATATGTTGCTGAAAAATTTTAAAAATTCAATTTAAAAAATCCCCGAATTGCCAGTGAATCCAGCGGTTTTTTTTCCCTGTATAGTGTTCATAAAAACTGTGCTCGGTGGAGCTCGGGGTAGCCAAACAGTATTTATGCGTGTAGTTTTCAGTTTTATCTCCATTTCGTAGCTTTGCATTCGCCAAACAGGAAAACAATCACTGGCAATGGTACAGAAACCATATATTAGTGTACTCAAACTCCTGGCTAATTGAAGGAGCAAAAAATTGCAGAGCAGAATCTGTTAGAGAACAGCCACTGCTATGGAAACCATATACCATTAGGGGAAATTCAAAACCAAAACATGCGAAATCTGAAATTTACGCTACATTGTGCAAACTTTAAATGAATGCGGGAATTGTTTTATTATATCTCATTTTTGGGAAGCTTTATGATCGCAGGCGGTTTGAATATTCCGCAATTAAAATTGCACCAGGCCAACAGTCGTTATGTTGCGGAGAAGCCTCAGCTTTGCCACACAATGTGTATCCCAATTTGTGTGCATGTCGAGCGCTTTAATTGCTGCTTCGTGCCTCAATGAAGTCCGCATTAAGTGCCCCCGAAACAGGGCTTGCAATGGAAAGCCACTGGCGCAGATAAGATATCATAAAGGGCTCTCAAGTTTTGATTCGAGCGATGCACAAGCTATGGCTCTGGACTTTAATGCGCCTTTAAGATGTGGGCCCTGGCTGGAAGCCAAGGCCCTACCATAAGTCCAAGATGCTGGAGCATATTTTGCTGCTGTGGCAAAAAAACAATCTGCCCGGGGATAGAAACATTAGAAGGGGACGCAGAACATGGTCCTTAAGGTCCTTTCTATGGAGTGGGAGTGGCAGTGGCAGTGGCATTGCTGGGAGCCGCCTGAAAGTATGCATCACATTGTGTCGGCATCGTGCTGGCGGAGCATATGACTATGCATATTTGAAAGGCAATTTTGCCTAGTGTTCGGGTCATCGATGCAAATGCAATTTCATTCTGTTTACCAGACACTTTACACTGTCCTCTCCCTGTGGACGCAGATGGCTTTAATGATGGTACAATTTTGCATGCACATCTTTCCCTTTTATATCCGTTTTGCGGGGCACCTGCAGCCTCCCTGCCTACCTCGTGTTAATGCACAGCTGTTGCAGTCCCGCCAAATGTTTTCAATCAATTCAGTCGCAAATTTTTCACTTCCGTATGCGTTTCCGCAAAATTTATCGATCAGCAGCCCAGGGTCGGGGAAGCCCTTTGGGGCATTTAACCATTTTCGCACTTAAACCGCAGAAATTTTGTTAAACTTTCATTAAAAATACATGGCCTGGCAATTGTGGCAGCTGTGCTGGCATCAAAATGTCACTGCGAGTCCCCTCCTGGAATGCCTCTGCATCCGCTGCGGCAGTCATGTGTGAAAAGGGACGCAAGGATGGCGCTGGCAATGGCAATGGCCATGGGAATGGGAATGGGTACGGTAATGGGATGGTTTCCCATTCCACCAGCATGATAGTCCGCCGGAATATCCAAACACGTTACACCAGTCTGCAATTATATATGTAAATACGAGTATCCACGTGTGCACGGCAGTCGCTTGAATTTGTAGACGGGTCTGAGGGTCTTAGGGTGGTCCCAAAAACCTGTCAAAACTAGAATCATATCGTCCAAGTGCTGACAGCTGAATGATGCATACTCGAAATATATCGAATAGATATTTTCTGTGGCATCAATAAAATTGGAAATATAACTGATGCAATTTGTTGTAGACAACTTTGACACTTGCTCGTGGTTTTTTATACGGATTTATCTTGGAAAATTCGTATCGTATTTCAAATCAATAAATTCCCTGCTCACAGAGACATTCTTGTGAGATAATCGATGTC